GTGGAGATGTGGGGTGAGGGACACGGGGCAGTGGGGACCTGGCAGGGCTGGGGGGATGGTTGGACTTTTTCTGAAAGGTCTCTTCCAGGCAGCATGACTCTGATTCTGTGCTTCTGTGCAGTGAATGCAGGATGTAGAGCAGCAGAGTGGCACTGTTCCCAACCCATGTCAAACCCTCCACGATGCAAACACGGCAGACAAAACAAGCTGTTCTTTGTAATCATCAATTAAAGTACTTTATTAAATATCCTGCTGGAATATTTGGCAGGCATTTCTCATTGACAGGAACTGTGCATTTCTTACCACATGTAAATGACTGGTGGTGCAGATGGTGAGGTCACTGTAGCTTATTTCTGAGCTGCACTCACAAGGACACCTGACAGGTTCACTGAACCCAGCATGGTGGGGCTGGAAGGGACCTCTGGGGATCACCTCATCCCACCCCCTGCTCCAGCAGCTCACCCCCAGCAGGGTGCCCAGGGTCACCCCAGCCACGTTTGGGATCTCTCCAGAGATCTAGCTGGATCAGTGTCACTTGTCAACCAAGTCAACAATCAACCAAGGAGGCAGTTGTCCCAGAACAGGGGTGGGTGTGACCAGCTGGGGTTTCAAACTCCTCAGCACAGAGCACTTGAGGTCCATCTCCCCATACCATAAAATTCAGCTAGTAATTATTGCTAAGGTTTTGAGTTATTTTCCTTAAATGCCAACCCCTGTGTATAGGTAATAACATAGAGGAGATCAGAGGCCTGGAGAAGTGTCACAGTCTGACTCATCTTAGTTTGTCACACAACAGACTCACTGCAATCACTGGACTTCAGAACTTGCCTATCAGAACACTCAATCTGGTAAGGATGAAGTCATTCTGCTTTCCTGTCTGTCTTTTATCAATATATTAAGGTCTTAAGAAATAGGAAGTTAGTTTCACAACAGATTTTCAGAGATATCAGTAATACTGGGCACGTTTTTTATTGCTACAAGATCACAGAATGATAGAATGGGAGAGCTGAAGGTATCTGATCATCCAGCTTCATGCTCAAAGCAGAGAGAGGTGGTTGCTCAAGGTCTTGTCCACCTGGGTTTTGAATTTCTCCAAAAATATTTAACATTTGCTTTGGGTAAGTTTTGTTGTGGCTTAGTGCACGTGTGAGTAGTTACACACTGTGCAAGTCCCACAAGGCAAACCATGAAAATCCTGATTTTTTTAAGTATATTTCCTCATAAAATTTTGCTAATGGTGGCAGTGAGCTGGGAAAGGAGAGAGAAAAGTGGGAACTGAGAAGCCTGCCTTCATTTTAGGAAAAAAGTAAAGATTAGTATGCAAATCTGATATGTTATTAAAAGCTCTTTAATGTTTTAAGGATCTTGTAATGAGATGGGAAGTTTTATATTGCCAGCTTTGTATCAAGATTATCTATCAAGATATCAAGGGTGTTTTTGTTTAAATACAACCTTTCTAAGTTCTATTTCTAGATGCTTTAGAAAGGGCTGTGGAGGCCTGTGCCAGGCTGCCCAGGGCAGTGGTGGAGTCCCCACCCCTGGAGGGGTTTCCAAGCTCTGGAGATGTGGGGTGAGGGACATGGCTCAGTGGGGACTTGGGTTAATGGTTGGGCTCAGTCTTAAAGGTCTTTTTCCAACCCAAATAATTCTGTGATTCTATGATTTATCTGGCTTCAGGTTTGTGCAGTGTAGATGACTGAGCTACCTCTTCTCTGCTGCCTCTAAAAGTCCTTGGGGAGAAAAGGACACTTAAAAGAATTTGTTATTAATACAAAATGCATCAGGAAGTGCCTGTTTCTCTCTGTTGGTTATGAAGCTAGCCCAAAATCAGACCTCTGTCAAGACCTCCACTTGTTTGCATGCATCTTGCTCTTCTGCAGGCTTTGGGAAGGCATTTCTCTCAGTCTTCCTCAGTTCCAGGTCTGTAAAGTGTCCTTAACAGTACTGACACCTGCTTCTACATCATACTTGATCAGATCCCCTCTGAGGCTTCTCTTCTCCAGCTCAGCAGCCCCAGGGCTCTCAGCCTGGCCTGGCACAGAGATGCTCCAGCCCCTCAGCAGCTTCACAGCCTCCACTGGACTCTCTCCAGTAGCTCCTGGTCTCTCTGTAACTGGGGAGCCCAGAACTGGCCCCAGTACTCCTGAGGTGGCCTCACTGGGGCAGAGTAGAGGAGGAGTAAAACCTCCCTTAACCTGCTCCCCCCACTCTTCTTAATGAACCCATTAGTACCAAAAACTACACCTAGAACTACTCTCATATTTGCTACATTAATTTTAAGCACCTACTTAAATATTTTAGGTAAAGCAAATGAATCCCTTATCAGGAATAGAAATATTCCTTTCCAATCCTTTTAAAATTTTAAAGATTTTTCTTCTTTTCTGTAGTAATTGGTATAGAAAAGAGCAACTAAGGTCTGTACCCATCAAGGCCTGATTGGCCCCTGCACTTTATTACTTCTTTGATATTCAGGAAAGATGTTCACATTTCAAAATTGACAGTAGTATGTTGTGAATTATATATTCAAATAGTGTTCAGTAGCTTATTCTTAATATGCTTCTATTCCAGGCATGCCTTCAGTAGCTCTGAGTTATTCCTTTAGTGGCCATAAAAGTGAATTTTGTCTCATTTTTAGCAGATAAGATGAACTCAGTTTGGCCAAATCATGGCTAAAGGTCCTGAAATGAAGTGTAAGAACCTGACAGTCTAAGCTGACAGGAAGATGTCTTCTCTAAATACTTCAGGGAGAGCTCCAAGGAGTCACTCAACCATTGTGTGCACTGCTTTTTCTTTGAATCATTAGAATAAAATGCAGTTCCCTTTTCAGGGGAGCAGTCATCCCCTCTCTTCCCATTGATTCAGCTTTCTTTTCCCTTTTCCCTCAGGCTTTTTAGGTTGAAAGAGTAGTAAGGTCTGAAGTTGGGGAAAGAAAAGCTTCAAAAACTGTAAATCCTGCCTAGCTGTACCAAAAAAGCCTTTATTCTGCTTATGTTTGCAAAAATAAAATAAGAAGTGCAGCTCTAATGAACAAGACTCTCAGGAATTTTGTGCTTTGTAAGAAAAGATCTCTACACAAACCCCTTTTGTTGCTGGAATTTTATGTGCACCTCTTTTGCAACCAGAGCTCTGAGCTGTACCCTGTTAAACAGAGGTCTCAGAAAGAGCAGGAAGAGAAGGTGGAAGCCTCCATGCTATTAATAACCTAATTAAACATTTAAAAGTCAGGAAAAATGTCAAGGACAGACAACTGGATTACCAGGAGAGTCAGCTGGCTTATTTATTTCCATAGTTCCTAAATATTTATTAATAGGCTATGAGGCTTCTAAGCTTTCAGCACAAGGTGAGGCTGATGGAAAATCATCTAACTCACAAGGTTACACGTTGAGAGGCCATCTGGGCAGTGTGGCCACTGGGACAGGGATGAGCAGAGAACCTTCCACGTGGCACCTGTTTGGATTTCAGAGCAAATGAACCTCAGGAACAAGGGTGTGATTTGTGAGGCCCTGAGAAATGAAGCCAGCTGCTGTCCAGGGGTAAATGTACTTTGTTTGGAGGGGATGTAAAACAACAACAGTTGGTTAGGAGTTTTTAAAAGCTTGGGTCATTTTTTGTGTTAGAGTCTAGAGGAACTTCCAGTAAGGTAGGATTGGGTTTTGGGGGTTTTATTTTTAACATTTCTGTGCATGCTGTCAGTGACAGGACATAAAGTCTGTCTTCACTTAGGATGCATTAAGATCAACTTGTGGATTTCTATAGAGGTATTTTTATAGACTGCCTGTAGGCAGAGAAAACAGCATTGTTCTACTTTAATACTTTCTTTATTCTGCAATCATAAGTGTAAATATAACCACAGTGACAGAAGGAAATTCTATGTATTTATGTATATATATTCTATAATTTTATGTGCAAATCTCTTTTCTCTATTTTGAGCTGGATAGTGACAAGAGCATCCTTTAGCCAGCAGCAGCAGGAAAAGAATTCTACAGCTCTTTTTATTCCTGCCTGCTGCCCAGGGTGAGGGGAAGAGAAGTTAATCAGCAGAGAGTTGACTCTTTTTGCCTTGAGCAGCATGAAATTCTGTAGTGTGTCATCTCCAGAGGAAGATGGGGCTAATGCAGAAAAGGCCTTTTTGTGATTGGGTCCTCAATAATCAAGTGAACTCTGGTTCTTCCTCAGGAATATCATTTTCCATCTTTAGAGCTTTACCAACAGTTGATATGTTTTCATTTCCTAGAGCTCTAACCAGATTGAGAAGGTGACTGGGTTGGAGAGCTTGAAAAGTCTACAGAAGCTGGACCTGTCTAGAAATAAAATAACTAGTCTAGAAGGCCTGCAGGAACATGATCTCCTAGAGATGATCAACCTAGAGGATAACCAGGTACCACACTTCACATTGATCTCAGCTTTCTCTACAAATGTTTTGTTCTGTGGGGTTTTTTTGTTCCTAAAATTCAATCTCTTTAAGGCTTCATCAAAACCCTTAACAACACTGCCAGGAAAATGTGAGGAAAGGTGACATGTTTCACAGATTGATTGGTAGTGTACCCCTCAGGCCTCCTTTCATGTCTTTAGGTGGGTTTATCTTTAGGTAAGTATCACTTCTGTAGTATTTAGTACATAAAGAACTAACAGTGCTCCCCTGAGTGGATGAGCTAGGGATGAGTCTGCAGCTTTTTCAGCTTGCTTATTCTTGAGGATCTTTACTTACATCACAGCTTTTCCACTGCCAAGCCTCAGGAGGGTTAGCTAATACCTCTCAGCCCAATTTTACAACCATAGATTCTTCTGAGCTCTCAGCCAGAAACTTCCTGTAAGGCAGAACTGCATGTGCTCGATTAAAATTTGGCTTCTGTTCTGCAGCAGGACTTTTAGAGGAATTACAATGACACAACCCAACCCATTTGTATTTGAATTTTGAAACCCAAGCCATATATATGTATGATATTGCTCCTCCAGCATCCTCAACTGTAAAGACCATCAATTGAAGAATCATTTTGACATCAAAGACAGATCTGCGTGTGAAAAACAATCTAGGAAAATAAGAAATGAAAATAAAACCCAGGATTTGAGCATTTTCTGTCCTTTTACCCCACTTGCAAGATGGATTTACAGGATTTAATTCAAGAGGCTGTGAATTCTTTCTCTCACACTCTGTTCAGGTTGACATTTAAAGGTACATCAGTTACACAAGACAGGAAACTAATAGCAGAGTTGCTATTAGCATTAATAACTCCACTTCCATTGCCTCATAGAATTTCCACTGTTCTTTACAGCAATCTGATTTTCCCTCATCAAAATTTGCCTCTATTAATGATGTTATTGAAACTGTTTAACGAGCCACCATTTTTTTTTTTGAACGTTTCCTTCTGAAGAATCATTTAAAGAGAATTTTAATTAATTAACACAGAAAGATCTAAAGTTATTTCAGCTCCCTGCCACCCAGAATGATCTTAAAATGGTTGACTTTTCAAAAATGGGCACAAGAGGGTTACCTGCAAACCATGTCTCACAGAGGCAGGGTCAGTGATTTTCAGACATTAATGGTTGACATGCTGTGGTTTCTGTGGAAATCCACCCAAATCACATTTAACCTGGTCAAAACTCCTCTGCACTGGGGGTCTTCTTATCTCAAAATGAATATTGGGTGGGTTGTGGTTGAGGTTTATGGTTTTAGATGCTTTATATGAGTTGAGGGTAAGTTAGGGATAGAATCTGAAGTCTTCTAGGTTCAGTCTTTCAGCAGTGAGTGGAGGAAAATGAGGTAAGACAAAAGCACAGAATTGCTGGGGTTGGAAGGGACCTCTGGGGATGATCTCATCCCACCCCTGCTCCAGCAGCTCACCCCCAGCAGGGTGCCCAGGGTCACACCAGCCACGTTTGGGATCTCTCCAGAGCAGCAG